TTTCCCCGTACCGGTAGGTAACATGTACGGCCCCGTGAAAGTTTTTTTACGGGTAAATTAATATCTGAGGAATCACGGAAAGATATTCACTCTTCAAGTTTTCGAATTCAGCTTTTATGCGCTGGTGCGTGAAATTTTTAACTATTTTCCAATGTTTGAACTATTTTTGCATAGACAAAAGTACAAGAGTGCGTGAAATTTTTAACTGTTTTCCAATGTTTGAACTATTTTTGCATAGACTAAAGAACAAAGCACTGGTGTGTGAAATTTTTAACTATTTTCCAATGTTTGAACTATTTTTGCATAGACTAAAGTACAAAGCATGAAAATCATTAATAGGCAATCGTTCGATGGGCCGAATTGCACAAAACGCATTATCGCACCGGCTAGTCTGTTGAAATTTTTAACTGTTTTCCAATGTTTGAACTATTTTTGCATAGACTAAAGCACAAAGCAGTGAAGATCATTAATAGGCAATCGTTCGATGGGCTGAATTGCACAAAACACATGATCGCACCGGCTAGTTTGGTGCGCGCTGCTATTTATTTTTTATTTTTTTTTTTGAGATCGCTTTGCATTTTCACAACTTTATGGGCCTTCAAATGGTTCTAACTTATCGGAAAAGCATTTTAATGAATTGTCGATCCATCACTTTTTCCTGCTTTTGTTGATTGATTATCCCGAAATTTTAAAGTATTTTTTGATTCGAATTTACACTCCTGCTTTTTTGGTCCTGTTTTTTACTCATTTCAGAACATTTCCTATTATTTTTACAGGTGGTACTTGTAAGCGGTTTGGATATGGAGAGTGGCTTTTCGAGGGAATTATTTCTGGATTGGTGCACTGATGTCAAGAATACTGTTATTATAACAGGTAGTACGAGCTGTCCAGTTCTGTTCACTTGTTGCATTTTAGATTTTAAGATTCAGCAAATCTAATTTGTTAAATAATTCTGAGAAAGTTGTTGCTAACGGTATGTAGTTGGAGGTTCATGGGACTTATTTGAGCATGATAAGAAGATACTGTGGCCACGATTTCCGTTTACGCTTATTTTCTTGACTTTAGGTAATGCTTTTTTTCCTCATCCCAACGGGGAAACAAGCTGATGCGGCAGCCTAAATGCTTTCTAATCTGACAAATTCCTTTTAATTTTAGTCTGCCAAATTTTTGTCGTAGACTTCTTCTGTTTAGGCGAGCTTTTCATGGTGAATGTGATACGTATTCTGTTGGTTAGTGGGTTATTAATACTGATTTTCATTCCCCTAGCTGTTTTTCTTAATTTTAGAAAAGTGTATATGTCGCTTTTGTTTTGATAGTTTATGGGATTATTTTGGCTCACCTCTTCTCGACACGGCTCTGTTTTGTCGGCGCTTCCAATGGTTTTAGGGACGATATCTGCGAAAATCTACAAGATTTTTCATCGGCTTCAAAGCGAATGATATATGGGTCTAAACGATGAGGCGCCTGCCACGTGACCGTTTCATCGTCTACACCCACATATCATTCGTTTCGTTCTACGCAGCCAGCAAATAGCTTGTCAAAAACTGCATGTATTTTAGGGCGTTCTGGGGATAGAACTCTTGGCGCACGATTAATTCGTATGGCAGAGCAGTCAGCTGAAAACCCGAATGGTTCCATAAATCGGAATCTAACAATAGAGGTTAAGCGAAGAATACGCCTGGATGGCGCTGAGTTAAAAAATTATCGCGCAATGAAACTTGCGGAAGAACGTGAAGCAACTCGAATTAGGTATAGCTTATTTTAGAAATATTAACTTCAAGTATTTTCCCACTTAAACACGTCTTTTCTGTAGGCCTGATTTAGCGACAAGTGGTGCCCACTTTTAGGGTGAAACCGTTGGTGGTTGGATGGGGTCTTCCAGCGAAAGCCTGCAGGCAGCCCCTCTACATTTTGCTTGCATTCATTGCTTGAGTAAATCGATACTGTCGTATATTTGATATGGACAGGAATCATGGTACTCTTAGCGCATTTCTTTGAAAGCCATCCGAAGAGAAAATTATCGACTCAGGCTACGTCAGGGTGCTGCTATTTATTAGAGAGGCGAAGTGGAAATGAGTAAACGTTTCGGCCTTGTTAGGTTGAGAAAAAAACTTTATGTATGCCATTTTCTCCTGAGAACTACCGCCTGACTCAGGTTTTTTCGAGAACCTTCAGTGGTCACAGTGAATATTGTTAATTTGAAAGTTAATCGCTTCGTAGGTTGGAAAATTCACGCCGAAATGCGAGGCTGGAGCACGCTGATTCATCAGAAGACAGTGACGATGATACAGTGATGGTGCTTGGCGCTTCTACAGCTGGGGCTGCCGGAAAATTGTTCGTTGCTTCGAGACAAGCAAGTACCGGAGCAGATAATGGACATTTTGGAAATAACTCTGCCGCAGGTTACATTTAGATTGTGTTTCGGATTAAACATTTCGCACAGCTAAGCATTCCATGCAGCGTAATTTGAATATTTTAATATTCTGACGGCTGCTGTATGATCGACGGGTTTTTATGGTAGGGAAAGCGGGCAATTTTTTTTTTTTTCATTGAAATGACTCTTTTTTTTTCTTATTTTTTGTAAAAATGGTTGCATTTTGTTTGAAATTCGTCTTAGTTACTTACTTTCTACTTTGGTTAGCTCGCTTCTCTTCTTCGTGGTACCTCTTAGCATCATAGAGCAAATATTTTCCTGATTGCTATGACTATATTTAGACCACCTAATAGTTGCTTTCTGCTGGTGGCTATAGCATACGCTTTCCCGCTTAATTTCTTCATTTTTCTGAAGAGAAATGGGATGCATGTATTACAGTCCTTTCGTTATATGTCATTTCAGTTGTGCTTCTCACGAACAAAGTTTGCCTTTCTCTTTCCGTGTGTAACGAGGCATACCTAACAAACTTCCTCTGTCTTTGTCCAGAAGTAAAGAATTGAAATTTTGATCATTTTTGAAACATTTTAGCTTCAGCAGACGTCACAGCAACTCATATAGCTGAACAGCGCTCTCACGATATTATGTGGAAATGGGAGCAACAACAGAAGTCATCATTTTTCAAGCAAAGCAAAAAATCGTTTCCGATGTTTCCGTACATTGAAGAAAAGACCCGGGTTTGTTTCACTGCTTCACTCTCAAAATTTCACCTGATTTTTATTGAGGAGTTTCCAAAACTTTTCTCGATTGGTTCAGTTTTTTAATTTTTTTTCCTATGTACCACCTCACGTTTTGAGATATTTTAGATGTTTTTTCTTGTCTAGTACAATCGTCATTGCGGACGTTCCTAAACACTGACCTGCATGGGAGGAATGCCATATCAATCTTTTGCGTTTTTATTCTGTTGAAATCTACTGAAAGTTGTGTTTGGGTAAACGGTATTTACGGGAAAATTTGCCATTTGAATGAGTTTAGCGAGTGCCGTGGCTAACAACCTGAAAGATTGGGGGTAAGTGCGCAGCAGTACCTATCGTCTTGTTTGCAGCTGTCGTTAGCTTTGTAGGCACCCCACTGATGTGCCCCTACAACTACAGACATCATCTTTTAAGTAATTTGTCGATAACATAACAGTTATGTGCAAACTGTTATTTTAGTGGGACGATTACGGCGAGGTTATACGGCCGGAGGAATACATGGTATCGGATACTGCAGCGTTGCCGCCGCATCCTGCAGAATCCAAAGATGCTGGTGGTGCTGGCTCTGACTGTGATGAACAAGTTACTCTGCTACAAGAAGAGCGTGAATGGCCATCAAAATGCATTAGCCAAATTGTGAAAATGGAGGTATGCTTTTTATGCGTTTTTGCTCTACAGCGCTATAGCGCTGTTACAGCCAGCAAAAACGCATATTGTCGAGAGACTGTGTGTGAGTGTACAAATGCGAGCGCATTTTGTCACCCACTTTCATCTCACAATCAGGGAAGCTGGGAGGCTGAAAATTCGGGTATATGTTCCTACCGCCTGTGTCATCCTCCCATTTTAAGTTTTCCCATACACGCCTAGGCCCCGCATACTGGCCCCCCAAAAAAATATGTTGGCGGGAAGCGATTTCGCGAACCAGGCAACGTAGAAAGCTCGCCAACTCGCCAACTCTAAATACCGGTTTGCATACCTGAGACACCTAAATGCCTTTTTTTTTTGGAGTTCGACCACATTTTTTAAAATTCGACTGTTTTCCTTCGTTGGTCTACACCACGACCAAATTGCACATGCTGTCGGAAGAAACGTCCTACCCCTTGGCGTTAACCCTTAAAAACTACTTAACTTCGTCATTTTCATCAGCAACTTAGTACCATTCTAAATTTCCAGTACTTTGCAGGGATATTCTCTATGCACGTGCGAGCTAAAGATTTTAAACTCAGCCATCGAGCACTCCAACCACAGCCTCAAGCAGCTCCTCAACCCAAAAATCGTTAGCAGCCCGAATCCGAACCGCAATCGTATATGTAAATGAACATTAGTTAATTTGCATACATGGATTTTTTGACAAACGACCGTCCGAACAATACTTCCACTTTTTAGTGAACTGGAAATTTACACTTTTCCAAAAAATTTGCATTTGTCATTTTTTCACAAAGCGAGCAGTTACCGAAAAAACGACCGAACTTTATGCAAAAAACCGATAAAACGGCTGCTAAAACCAGCAAAACCAGTTTTCTATAGTAAAACAGCTGTGACCTGAGACGCTAAGGGCGAAAGACCCCTTGCCCCCTTCCCCCGGAACGCAAAGGTAGAGGGGATAACCTTGCTTGCAAATAGGGTGGGGATTATGGGATGAGATGTAACTGTATGGGCTTCTCTGTATTCAGTAAAGAACTTGACGCTGAGAGGAGCCAGCATTCTCGAATGTACTACCTAGAACGTCCCCGAGGCTGAAAAGCAGGTAACACGAATCTCGCAGCTTACATCCAGGCCAATAAAATATTGCACGGCCGAGCTAAGTTTCAGCAAATGCTAATTTCGCGGTCTTCAAAAAGCTTGCAATAAAACGCAACCCCGGGGAGGCAAACCTTTCGGGTATTTGGAAGTATCCTAGAAGTGTCAAGTACCCGGAAGAACAACGCGAACAAGAGATGAGGGGGCATGTGGAGTGGAGCGATCCGCCTTAATATGAGAAGTCTCTACTTATGGCAGCGAAAAGTCAGTCCGGAACACACGGCCCCCCTCCCCTCTCCCTACTTAGTCACCATCAAACTCCCAACCGAACCCCCCAACTTGCCTTCATTCCGTACCGACTGCACTAAACAGAATTCGACCACACGGCCTTAAAGTGTGCGCAATGTTTCACTTTCTTTGGTTGTACGGAAAAGTGAAGTTTTATACAAATTCAACTTCCGCCTCGGTTTTAGAAAAGCTTTTTGGCCCGAATCTTCCGCAATTTATAATTTTGATTCACAAAAAGTTAAGAATGAGTGGTAAGTTATATTTTTGCACTTGAAAAAGCTGTTGCAGGTTTTGTGCAAAGTTGATTTTATCGATTTCGAAGGGCGTTCAGACGGTGAATCGGTGAAAAAAATTCTTTCACAGATTAAACCCAAACAGATGATTATTGTGCATGGCTCATCGGCAGCCACGCGACATCTAGCACAATACGCACAGCAGCAAAACATCGTGCAGGTAATTCACCCGGAATTGCTATCAGCTCTTATTTCAGATCACCTGAGAATGTCATCGATTTTGAGATTATTACCCCAAAAGAAGGGGCGTCCCAGAATTCTCTCGTCATACCGAATCCGTGTAAAAATTCCATATTTTAAAAAAAGCGAAATTTTTAACTTAATGTATGCTTTGAAAACATTACAATACAATAGTTTTTCCAAAAAATCGATGATTTTTACATCATTAGCCGAATTTGGCGCTCTATTTTGTGAATTTCTCGTTCTCAATTTTTTATCTCGTTCTCAATTTTTCATTGGGTGTTGAATTTTTTTTAAATTCCATCCTCTCCTTTCTGGTACTTTCCTTCCCTTCCTCGCTTCTTTCCGAGGATTCAAAAAA